TTGGCTCCCACATCACAGGAATCAACATCTGCTGCTCTCGCATTGGTCACATTCACAGTTTGCTCTCTGATTGAGAAGTCATTGTAAATCATGTCGCAGTAATTCACCTCCGCGCTCGCGCTCAGACGAACGGTAAGTGGCTGCTGGACGCATGTAAATGAGACGGCTGCGTTTGGCAGATGTGACAGGAGACGGTCGGCGTTGTCAGATAGAAACTCCGGCGGTTGTGCAGATGTAAGGAAACCGTGGCCATTAACTGCTCTGACTGATGCCTGCGAGATAACGGATTGACGGATCCAGCGTTCGCGGAGTCCTGCGGCTCTCTGGGGAAAAGTGGGACAGTCAAACATACAAGGAGGAGTTTTACTGTTTCCTACGTTTGAAAGCCCTCGGTGAAAGAGCTGTAATATTGTGACAAGTTGCTTATTTTAGACTTCTGTCAGTCTCTCGGATTCACTTTTTCAAGTACTACATTGGCATGGATGTTTTGCGACCACATTGCTAGATAAAACTGTCCCAAAAAAAAAAAAAATAATCCATAATAATAAACTTAACTAAATAACAATCCATAATAATAAACTTAACTAAATATAATAATAATAATAAACAGCAAACAAAAAAAATTAAATGAATTACAAATTATTGAAATTATTGACTATTTAAATGTTAATTATATATTAAATTTTTTTGATATATATAAATGTTTTAATGTTAATAAATAATAAAACATAAATACACCCCAACAAAAAATAGTCTAAAATAAAATAAAACATGATAAAAGTATTTAAATGTTAATTAATAATATAATGTATCATCTTATTAATGTATCATATTATTATTATATACATACAAATTATCTTAATTTTGATTGTAGTTTATGCGTTTATTTATTAACATTAAAACAATCTTTAACCTTAAAAAAAAATACAAAAACAAAATAAATATTTAAATGTTAATAAAATGTATAATTAGTGCTGTCAAACGATTAATCTCTTTTACGATTTTTGTTTACATAATATATGTATGTGTACTGTGTTTATTTATTATGTTTATATAAATACACACACATACTGTATATATTTAGAAAATATTTACATGTATGCACATTTATATATTTATATTATTATATTTTTTATTTTATATAAATATATTTAATATATAAACATAACATATTTTTCTTAAATATATACATGCATGTGTTTGTAATTATATAAACATAATAAATAAACACAGTACACATACATATATCATGTAAACAAAAACTTTTATTTTGGATGCGATTAATCGTTTGACAGCACTATTCTATTTTATTCTATTCTGTCTGTTATTAGTAAAGGATTTGCAATTGTGTACTTGCTTTTAATGCCCTTAGTTAATCAGGGCATTATTTTCCTGCTGCCCCAGAGTGTTAAGTCACATGGAATTTACAGTTCAGGTTATTGGCTCAAACATTTTTCCACAACGATTGCCCATGAAGAAAAGCTGGTCTGCATGTGCCAGCTGAACAACTTTATGATGAATGGGACTGCTAACTGACACTCAGTGACAGGCCTCTAAACTGCATATCTGTCATTTCCATATTCTAAAACTGGGTGATCATTATGGTAGTTAGTATGTTAGTCTAGCATGTGTCCGTAATTATTACCTTGTCTAACTGGTTGTTTTGTTAGTGACTAAGAATAAAAAGTAGATTATTAGACGACTTGGGAGTTGGATGGTTTTGCTGTTCTTTTAGGATGTTAAAACAGAAAAGATTCAATTTGTTATTCATGCTTTCTTACAGACCCAAAGGACACAATCAGCTTGGCTTAAATGCTTTGCTACATCTCATTATCAGTTTTGTATGTTTACTACTTTCAGCAGTTACGTGCACCCTTAGGACACCTACTGTAAGACAGAAGCAATAAATATTTTATCTTCTTTCCTTTCTTATCTAGAGCATAATAGTTATAAGAATAATACTATAGAGTCAAAATTGCTACACTTCATATACTGTACTGTTGGTAAACTGTATATGAGTAAAAGTATTTCAGGGAAAAACAGCTATTTTAGTTGCTCTTTTTTTTGACTTGGCAGAACAGGACTGCTGCAGACCTCCTTAAATAGAGACAGCAGATGTCCATCATTTTGTGCAGCTACCAGATTCCTGACATTTTAAGGCACATATTTTCATAAAACGTTGCCTACCTACACTTTTCACTCACTTGTGTACCAAATGAGGCCATTTCAAGCTCTTTATTAATTCACTGTTAACCCAAGTCAAGAGCTACTTTGGACCTTCTAACCATAATGAATTTATTTATTATCTAATATCAAATTTATGTCCAGAGTCACTCTAGCACTCATTCTGTAGCAATTTGTCAGTGTCAAATATCATTATGTGATTTTTCACACTGAGCTGCTTTATACAGAATTGCACAGGAGTATTGTGAATGGTCCGCCTATTGTCTAACAACATTATGTAATCTGAATGTATGCAGGAAAAATTTGTTTTTTTTTGCATCAGGCTCATTGCATATAGTGATGCATACATTAGCATTTTTTTTTTATCCAATGACTGTGTCTACCTCTGAAACTGATGAGAAAGAGAGAAACCCCAGAGCGCTCTGCATGGCAGAGATCTGCAGTGCAGACGGCTTCATGCCCATCAGAGACTTTCCATGTAGATTTATATCCAATTACATAGATTTGTTCACAGAATATAGTTGTATTTAGTTTTTTCACGTGTATGCACATTCTTGATTTGGAACAAAAAACTGGAAAAAAGGAACTAAAAGTAAAAGTAGGAAGTAAAAGCCTTTCCCCCCCAAACTGATGAAGGATTCTGTCAGTAATGGAAATAGAGGACCTTAAAGCTTTCTCACGTGTAATGGTTTTCTAAGACACATTATGTAGCATGGAAGGGTTGTTTTCCGTTGTGTTATTTTCCTGAGGTTTAATCCATGTAATCCATGTTTTTACCATGTGTGCCTCTGAGCCTCTATGATATTCGATTACTTCCCCCTTAAGACGTCCTGTCAGCGCTTCACAGAAGAGGAAAAACTCTACTTATTTTCCTTCCCTGCACAGGCATGTGCATTTTTTTTAGACTGGGGCAGATGGAACACAGTGTTTTTGCCATTTAAGAAATTGAATTATGTATTTGCATAGGTGTAAATGCATAGTAAGATTATTATGGCTAATGAAAGATGTTACAAAGACAAAAACATTTTTTTTGAGTTTTTTTTAGTATTTTAAATTGAACTATTACATTTGCATTTAAATACAGAAAAATACGAAAATTAACAAACAAAAATATCAAACAAATTGCTTTGCCACATTGCATGTTTTGTCATTTGTGAATGTAAGTAAAATTTGTAAATGTTTTCTGGTAATGACCTGTGACATGTTTGCTAAGGCATGTGCACATTTCAATATGAATCCACAGTATATGATGACATTTATGAGCAATTGCAGAATCTTTGGACCAGGTAAAGTCAGTTTGGTCCCTCTGTCACTGCAGAATTGCGTAACTTTGTCTGTAATAGAACCTCCATGTTGAGCTTATGCAAACCATCTCATCTCCCTGACAGACTTGATCTAGTAACAGGTACCTCACTGAGCTCAGATGTGTGTCATCAATATTTCATATGGAGACATTTTTTCATTTGGGTATGAACAAATGCTATCAGACTCCCCACCTGAGTCCCCCTCTGTAGACAAGGCCTGAGCATGTATTTTCAGTGCCCAAAGTAATGGGAAAAGGGTGATGAAAATACCAAGGGGAGTTTTAGCAGCTTTTGATTACTCTCTGCCTCTCTTTCTGTCTCTAGTCAAGTACCTACACACTGAACGAATGACAAATGCATTTAAATTCAA